TCCCTTTCTTCGGGGCGGGATATTGATTAATAAGTGCGAAGAAGAGGCAACCTGGCTGGCGCTTGTAGTGCTCATCACTGCGATAGTGTTATTAATATGCCCTTCAGACCCAAATGGACCACGTACAATGGATTGTCGTCAGACTCCCAACCCTCTAGCGCGAGGTCGCAATAAGCACAGGTCGTCATGTCATCAGCCTCAAGCGAGGGGGTGAACTTCCAGCCGCCCTCGACCAGCTGCAGCTTCACGTTAGCCTTGCTTTCCAACAATCGGGTGGAGCGCAATTGCCTACCTTTTTAGTCTTGCATTTGAAACCCTTCTTTGACTCGTATGGCCACCTGCCTCCGAAGGTCGCTTTCCGCGCCTCGATCATGGCTGGATCGAGGGGATGCACCTTCCCGTAATTGCCATAACCGGCTTCGATTGCCGCCATAATCGCCCAGCCGCATGTCGGCGAATGTTTCAGATGTTCCTCTAGTGGGTTATCGGTCTCTTCCCACCCATCGAGCGACTTCTCGCACAAGAAGCATACCACATTGTCGGGGCTCTTGGGGTGCGGTTCGAAGAAAAAACCGGCTTTTGCGAGCTGTTTTGGTACATTAGTCATTATCGATGCCACCTTTTGCGAAGAAACCCACAGCGACTGGCGAAAGACTTTTGTGCGGCCAGGAAAGTGTCTTTCCAGCCTTGCCCTTAGAAGTGACAGGCTGAGGGCCGCGAAACGAGTCGAGACGCTTCTCGAAGACGAAGTACCGGTCGACTGGTTCCATTGCCAGCACAGTCGTTGAAAGCGCGTCGCTTCCTTAGGTACGGTTCAGATCGCGACTCGGGAGCAAGGTCGAGGGTTGTCGTGGGCGCGTTCTTGATCGAGTGAGAGCAGTCGCTGGAGACCCTCCCCAGCTGTGATTATAGCGCGTGTCTAAACGAACGTGGCAGATCTAAATGATGATAATAAGAGCGCTGGTCGATGGATCACTAGGCGACAGATGCTTTGCGCTCCTTGATTCGGGACGATAGTGGGGAGGAAGTCGCAATCGCCAGAATATCAATGTGCAACATTGATTGGACAATAGCATCGCGTTTGTTTACTTGCCGTTCGGGGGTTTAAGTGGGGCTGATGTGGTGCGCCACAACCTTGCGCTGTCTGACAAACTGGCAAGCCACAAACCTTTCTTGTTTGTGGCACGGTGTTTCTGGGTTAGGGTTGTAGACTCTACATAAGTCTCTTTATCACCACGGTCGGGTTCTTGGCCCACACAAGAATGTCAAACCTGGACGCCATTTCTCCTTCCGTTGACTTGACCCAATTCGTCACCGAAGTTGTTCGCCCAATCCCAGTCCACGGAGACTGCACATCACGGACCGATTATGTGTAGTCTGCTCGCAGTTCACTCGGCAATCTGCGGCATTGTCCAGACTCGGAACGAAACCGAAGTGTCCTGACCACTTGCAAAATTGCTTCGCCGCTGGTTGAAAGTGTCAACACTTGACGATCAAGCGTTGCTATTTTGCGAGCGCACTAGTGGTAAGTTCTGCTTCAGCCGTATCCGGTCTCAATGTCTTCATCATTAGTGATATCTTCTCTGGGGGTTTCCTCTTTTCGTTTATTCCCGGCGGTGTGCCCTTGGAGGCGGCGAGATCTATGTAGTATTACGTTCCCCGCTTTGCTGGAGATGTTGAGGCTGCCCCCATTAGGTAGCCAACCAAGTTCTCGGAGATATCCACCTCCAACAGAACAGTTGTGGAGTGTAGTAACACAAAACCCCGAGCTTGCCCGGCGTACACCGAACTGGTGGATCAGGGAAGATCCAAGTTCAAGGCACCTAATCCCACAATCTTGTCGGCCATGCCTCCGTTGGCTAGTTGCTGGCTGGAACATTAATGAAGAGTCGTCACGTATTCTCAAGAAAAGCGCCATTTCCTGGAGCGGCAGGTGAAGGATGTGTATTATGGGCTTTCAGTTTCTGATCTCAAGTACCGAGGGTTAAGCTTTTTTAAAGTTGCGTTTTCCCCGATATGACTAAGTTTACAAGCGCCGGATTGGTTGGCGGGCGGAAGCTTCCGGGCATGCCAGACATCCTTCCATTGTTCCTATCCTCCCTGGTGAAGTGAAGCGAGTTGTTGCTTAGTTCTCGACCCCACACCACACCCAACACATGAATCATGGGCTGTGAATATCAAACCAACCCTAGCACGACTAGCGATAAAGGGATGAGAAAAGTCTTGTTTCGTCTGATGACAAGAGACTTTCATATAATATCGCCCCAAGGTGTAGTCATCCTTGCCACGCCCCACCAGCCCACAAATGGAAGCGATGAAGAACGAACGAGCTTCGAGAAAAA